CCCTCGTTCCCCGTAAATGGGGGAAACCTCCAAAAAAATTACAAATTTAAAAATCGCTAATTTTCGAAATTTTTTCAATTTTTTTTTCTTAAAAGTGCTATAACTTTTTCAAAAATGAACATATCAATATAATTCTTTTTTACATAGATGTGTAATATCATTAGCTTTCGTTTGGTATATTTTTTTCATAAATTTAACCCTTAACCTGCCCACAAGGGGGGATTTAAAATGACAACTTTTTCAACTTAACTTTTGAAAATATTCCAGAAGGTCTGACACTTTTATATATATCTTAAATTAAAGCTAATGTAATGTTCTTTATTATGAAAAAAAAAAATTTCGGACTTTATTTTATCTTCACGGTGAAAGTGGCTACCGAATGCTATTATTGTGTGAAAATTCTCGATTTTATTTTTTACATTTTTAACTTTATAATGCTATGACATATTGAAAAGTGTATGGATCAACATTATTTTTTTATGAGAAATAATATTTTTTAATAATCCCTTTTTCATTCTACATACTTTATCTTAATTAGGATATTAATAATGAACTAGCAGATAATGTAGCTTTTGGAATAGTCCACCAATTTTTTAAAATTAAACAGTATCTAAAGATTTGTATCGAAGCGTTTTTTTTTGATAGTGATTTTAATCACTGTCAGATATCATTATACTTAATTCAACTATGCCACGTCACCACTGTGCCGCGACCCCCCTGTGCTGGGTTTTTTTACGTTAAAAATATATTTTTAACTTGGTCCAAAACTGTAAAAATTATTAAAAATTAAAACAAACACAATTTTCTACTGAATCAAAAGTTATGAATGATGTCAAAATCTGGTGGGATATCTTGTATAATCCTATGATAATGTTGCACAAACTTGGGACCCTTCAAGTTGGTCCAAACAAAATTTATAAATACATATTGTTCAAAGCCTTAATTACAATAATTAAATAGAATAGCATATTACTACACAGTCAATTTTGGTTAATACCGTGGTCGTAGTTTTCTGCGTGCAATTACCAATTTTTATTTACTCAAAACAATTAAATTAACAATTTTAAGAATTTTTACATTTTATAAACTATATTTTCATTAATTTATCCACTGTAGAAAAAAAGGACTCATTTTGTATGTACATAATATATTTTTGTCTCCACATTTATCGATAAAAAATATTCCTACTACAATTTATAAGAAAAAATCATTATTTCTTTAAGTTTTTTAAAAAAGTTCAGTTTATTTTATAATCTATATATTCGTTACAAATTCATGTTAAATACATAACATAAGATAAAGATGTTATTTTTTGTTTAATAAAAGATATATAATTTTTTTGGATGTTGAATTTTATTTTTATGTATCCTTGTAACTTAATAAGTATTTTTATGGCACATTATTTGATAAGTGATATTTAGTATTATCCAAAAGCTTTGTTAATACCACGCCCATGGCATGGCTTTTTTAAAAAATAGTTATAAATTAAGAACTAAGCAATTATCTACTATATAGCTAATTATTTTTAGTAAATAATTTAATTTGACTCCACATAAAAAAAAATCAACTCAATTCAAATGAAATTGAATTACAGTTTGTGGTTAAAATTAATACTATGAAGTAATTCCGTACACACTCAATGTATTAAAATACTTATAACCTAATTAGTATTTGTNCTTATAACTTAATTAGTATTTGTCTTAATATTGTTCACGACCCATTAAACAGTTTTGTAATAAATTGATAAAAACAGACTATTTAAAAATATTGAACAATTTTATAATAAAAATTATATTTTTAATATTCAACACAAATAATATAATATATAAATAAGATATAAATTATGATATTTAAATGTAATTAATTATTAAAAAATATACACTAAAATTTTATTGTATGTAAAGTTATAACAGTTGTCAGTTATATGTATTCCATTCTATGTATAATATATTTTAATAACATAGTTACCTAAAAATTTGACCGTATATTTGATGAAAATACTGCAGTTGTATTTAACAAGTAAATTAAATTTGTTATTTTTTTAACGATTTATATATTCTTGTTTTTCAAGCGAAATTTATTTTTAAAAATCTAAATATCAATAATCGAACTTTTGCAAATACAAACCGATAATAGTTTTAAAATAATTTTATTTAAATAACGTTTTTTGAGTGTTTATTGTGTTTACGATATTAGTATAGTTTTAGTTTTAATTGCTAGAGAGGGAACAAAAACAACCCATGCACTTAGACCTGTAGATTAATTATGTGTACCTCCAACCGAATTATATTATTTCAGTTTCTTTACATGTGTTTCCAACGGAGTGTTGTTGCCATTGTTGAACCTAAGATTATATTCAGATTATATATCATGAACCGCTCGATTACTCATAAAATAATGAAAATCCTTTTCTTTTTTATATTTTCAATATCAACTCAATTGAATTAAAATTTTAGAATTGACCTTATTATAACTTAAAGTTTTCATTATAAAAGAAAAAAATTATGTGAAATTCCAAACTTTAATATTTTTCTAAAAATGGTACTTTTTTTGTGATAAATTGGCGTTTCTGAGCTCATTTAAAACCATAAAGAAGTTATTAATTTTTAGTGATTTTCAAATATGATATTGTATAGTGTATAATCTATGTTTCAGCTAAATTTCAAAAATTTGCTTAGTATTATTGTATATGTAATATATTTTGTTTTTTTAACGTTGTGACTATTTTGAACTTTTTTTACATTGAAAAAGCCATAAAAATGAGAAGGTCGTAAAAAAAAAGATTTATATTTTTATCTAATTATAGTATAAAGAACAAACACTGAAAATTAAAGAAAAATATGAGGTGGTCGTGCAACCACTTCTGGATGATTTATTTGGCATACATTGACTACTATGTTTTTTGATTATGTACTACTGTACGGAGATCGCTAAGTTCTCCCCACGAGAAAGAACAAACCACTTTGAAATATGTTCGACTAACAACAGATACACGACTGCGTGACGTCCACCACAGAATTTGAAGTGTTCCCATCGAACGTCAAGGTGGTTCTCTTGTTGGCCAACGAAAGTTCTGAGGCCAACATCAGTTCGTCGCCACGCTGATCTGTAAAACCGGATCCCCATGCCAGGGCATTTGCGTTTAAGTCCTTGGCGTAAGTTACATACCATTTTTTATTTTTTTTGTAACATTACTGCCATTATTGCCACAATAATGGCAGGTTTGGTTTAATTAACCCAACCGTTCTGAAACTGCCGTTAGGCACTACTTTGGAGCGGCCTATTCCTGTATCTATACATCACATAGTCGTGTTGTGACTCCGCCTGAAGTTAATCAACAACTGAGTCACAATACGGCGTGGCCTCCCCGTTAGCCAGACCCGAAATTCGGATCGGTTGCCCAGTCTGCACCACGTGTTGGTCGGGGTAGGACTTTGTGAAAGTTGGGGCTTAATAATTCATAAAAAGTTAGAAAACGCGTATGCGACATAAGGCGTTAGTCAGACTGGTGGGCGTGACCGCCTCTGTCGAACGATTTTTTGTTTTAGTTTACGTCATGTTCCTAACAATATTAATAATAAATTTAAAGGAATTAAAAAAAACAAATTTTCCAATGTCTGAAAATAAAACGATATTTATCTCGTTTAAATTTTTTTTGCCATTCTTATAATTTTCATGTAAGCAGCAAAATTAAATAAATAGAAATTTTAAATAAGAACTAGAAACACGAATAATAATTGCACATATTTTTATTTTATTATTAATTGTTTGTATGACTCATGTAAATTCTCAAAAAATAAAATCTGTAAGTTACCATATTTATTAGGCCTGTACTATTTATGTTAAAAAAAAATATTCCGTCTATTGTCAAGTTGCCAAAATTATTAAAAGTATTTGTTTTGTTTTAATGACGACATCTATTATTAACCCTTAAACAGTCGCGTGGGGGTCTAGCATACCCCCACATAAATAAAAACGGATGTATTATATTGCATAAAAGGTGTACATAGATATAAATTTAGAAGATGGTTTTTATAGTAATATTGAATAGATTTTCATAATTAAATACCTTCGCAAAAAAAAATTAACGACTTAAAATATCCATCAAAGTTGAAATGGATCATATTGACCCCCACGCGACTTGTAACGTTATAATTTTTTTTTGGACATGTATTTTTTTCAAAATATCGTTTTATGGTAAATGCAATGTTATAATTGATATAATATTGTGGAATTGGGATTATGTGGATCTGCCACCGAATGTGCAATTAAATTTTAAAAATAAATAATCTATTGAGAATTTCCACTTGATGATATGGAACAAATACGAACAAAACATGTAATAAATACATCCCGTCGCAATGTGGACACATTGATTATCGGTGCCCCATTAAAATTACCACTATTCAGAATTGCCCCTCCTGACCCTACTCGTATTATAATAATTAAATTGTATAGAAATATTAATAATACAAAAATTCAATTCAGAAAAATAATTATGTAAATGTAAATACACATAAAACTAATAAATATAAGCCGTGTTTGAGCTCAAAGAAATACAAGAAGAATTAATAAAAATACATTTTGAAATAGTAAAAGCTTTTATTTACCGTATTAAAAATAAGATTTTGCAGTTTAAATAATTTTTTGACAAACCAAAATTTTTTAATGAAATTTTGAAAATTAAGTTTTTTTTCGTAATATAATTTTTAGTAATGCACATAATTTTGTAATTTATTTATTTTTTAATTTTAATTTTTATCCATATTTATATATCATATGGTAACAAATAATGTCTTTGAATTTAAAAAAATGAACTTTTATATATATATTTTATACGTTTTTAGAAATGGGGTCTAATAGACCCCCACGCGACTATGAACGTTTAAAATAGGTACGCGCACGCTTAAGGGTTAATAAGTTCTTTTTTACCTTATATTTTGTATTTCTTATTTTATAGACTTATAGCTTATAATTTATCCAAAATACTATAATTATAATATAATGAATCTACGAACATTTTTCTTATTTATTTCGATATCACTGAAAGTTGGTCGAATGCATTAAAGGGTTGAACCACTTTTAATTAAAATGTATAAATATCATTTAGAAAAACAGTAACTATTTTTATAATTTATAATTGAAAAATATTTTTATTTGAAATTTTCAACATTTAGTGGAAGTAGAAATTGAACAAATGTTCAGCATAACAGTTGTAAGGATATAAAAATACTCTCAAAAATGGCTCGCATTTAACACGATAATAGTTCTCTTAAACTATAGAGTATTGTTGTAATTAGCAAATAAAAAACTGTCTAGCCTTCATGTCTATAAGTCAACGTGCCGCATACGGATACGCTATTCTATAATCGTAGTACGATTATTGCCTATAAAAATGATAATGCATGGGCACAATAGGGGATACTTAGGTCACTCAATAAATGTACAAAGAATTCTTAAGAATCAAAAGTTAAGTGAATTTTTGATGACAAATAAAATAATTATATATATATTCATAAACCAAAAATTACATAAACTCAGTGGTATAGAATTAAGTTGTTATGTTGATTATAATAATTACATTATAAATTATTTTATATATATATAGAATTCTTGGCGAAGAAAAAAATAATTTTACAATTAAAAATACGAGTATTTAAAATTTTATAGAATCAAACTTGATTCTTTGTAGCTGAGTAGTGTATTTTATTTAATGAATAAAATGTAAATTAACTTCGATATAATGATTAAAAAGAGTATCTCAATAGATATTTGAAATAATATTCTACCAAAGTATGATATTCAATAATAATTGCATGACTCAACTTAAGATAATTTATGTCCATTTATACTTTTGCGTGTTTGCAAAGCTGTGAAAAATAGTTTTAATAAGTTATTTTCAAATTCTTAACATGCACCTTAAAACTGAATTATTAAACGATTATGTTCATGTCTATGAGAAAAATAATATTGTTCTGTTTTTTGACAAAAATAACTTTATATTTGATTATATTGTAGTAAAAAGTGGGATGGTGTGGCCGAATTGGTCATGCAGCAGTGCCTAATGTGTACTATTTCAAAAACAATTTTGTAGTAAAACCAACTTTAAAAATAGCAAAATTTTTATCGTGAATATTATTTCTTGTAGTCAATAAATATAAACATGAAATGGGTCAGTTTTCAGTCCTACTACATGTACGTGGTAGTTTGACTGACCAACTCCGTGTGCTAAAGGCCGCGGTACAAAGTCTGACAAGTGAGGCGCAGATGACGACGACCCGTTGCAATTTTTTAACACGCTTATATTAGTTTCACTTGTATGTTTGTTGTTTGTTGTTTGTTTGTAAGTTTGTAACTCCACGCGGCACGTGTTATTATGTCGTGTATGACCTTGAGACTAGACTGTCGTAACGCATTCGCCCCACCCCGCTCACCACTCGTAGACAACAATATTTTCCGACCCGTAGACGCGCGCGTGTCATCAATTATATATATATGTATAACAAATTTTATTGTGATTGACGCGGCCCCGAGTCGTTTCGTTATACACGATGCCCCACGACTCAGGCCACCTTTATCAGCCGTCGCCCTATTTTATGAGTATTTGTCTGACCAACACCGCGCGTTTTACGTAGTCTTTTTCTCGTTGTCAAAGTGACAACGTCAACAAACCGATCTGCACTCGCGCACCGTCGTCATCTATGCTGCTAACCTTTTGCCGACCGAGGAGTACGCCGGACATCGCGTCGTCGACGCCAGCGAAAGTGCCGCGATAT